TTTCCCCACTCTGTGAGCACTAGGTGGGGCTGTTGAACCTTGCAGGGGGGGCCCGCAGGGTGTGTATTTTTTTGCCAAGTCTCCGTCTCCTTTGCCGGACTCCTCCCCACTCTGTGCGCTCAGTACAGGGCTGGGGTGTGTCTTCTGCAGTCCTCGTCTATCAGCCAGGACTTCAAGCCTGTGCTCTGCTCCGCCCTGCCCAGGAAGACTTTCAGGTTTCTGGTAAGGACGCTCTGAGTGCTTTTGTGGCCCTGGATGAGGCCTCCTCTGGGCCTCTCACTTTCCACCCAGTACTGCGACTATCTGTGTAGTTGAGTTATCTCCGACACCAGGGTGTGAGCTCCTCGGGGGAGGATCCCACAGCACACAGTTCCTCCTTGTATCCCCCCAGCACAGGCCGACCTGGGCACCTGCCGGCAGTCAGCTCTCTGACAGGTTCAAGCGAGCTCGAGAGCACTCCAGCCTCACCTCTCCCAACCAGAAATCAGTTTGGGGTTCTTCCGAACTGATGGCCACAGAGATGGTATCTGCCTCCCAGAAACAGGAAGTTTACCTGGGGCCGAAGCCCAGGGTGTGGTGGAGTGACAATCTGGATGGGTTCCTCCTCCCTGCCCTCCCGATGCTGGCTGGGGGCTCCCCCCACCACCAGCCCCGCCAGAGATCCACAAGGGGAGTGGGATTGTAGGCTGGTCCACAGGCCCCGGGGGGCGCCGCGCCAAGGCATGCAAGTAGCTCAGCTCAGTGAGGAGCCGTGCCAAGCAAAGAGGACAGGCCTGGCCGATCTGAGCCGGCCGGCTCCGCCCCCACCCAAGAAAATGGAGGCAGTGCTAGTGCCGGTGCCTAGCCTGGTGTGGTAGGCGGGAGCCAGGCGGGCATCTGCCCCGCAAGCGGGGCTGGGCTGGGGGTCACTCACTGAGCTCACAGAGCTGGGCTGGTCCAGCACCTTACTCTCCATTTCTGTGTCTTTCTTGGCCTTTGTTGCCTTGGGCTGCTCACTCAGTCCCGCAGCGCAGCTTGGGCGCTCTCAGGAATCTTCTTTTGTATCAGCCCTAAAACCTTGAATCTGTACTTGCTTTTTTTGTTGTTGTAGATTAGTTGATCAATGATTTATTCATTTTTTGTTGCTCTTGGAAATGCAAATAGTACTCTGGCAGCACAGCGCACACTTCTCAGGCTCGCACTGTCTTCTGGCACGCCCGCTCCAGACCCGTCGCCATCTTGGGGCCATTACTGTTCTTTCTTAAAGCACTTACTATATTCTGCCTGTATTACAGTCACGTCTCTGATCAATTTTCTAGCCATAACTATTATGTTGTTATATGTAGGGGATTGTTATTCAGGGGATCTCTTCAGCATGCTCAAATTTTTAAATTCTTAGACATTAACCTTCCCAGCCTCCTCAAAGGAAGTAAGTTTCAGGAAGCAACTTCCATGAAGAGCTGGTGCATTTGACATTAAAAGGACAGGTTTCCCCTCCAGATATTCGTCCATTTACTCTGGAAACATCTACTACTTGCAAACACGGTGTTGGGATTATAAAAAGGAAGGACACGGAGTCCCCGAGGGTCAGAACGGTGTCGGGGCTGGGGATCTCCCAGGGCCTCCCTCAGATCCTGTGGGTGTCTAGCACTGTTTTGAGTGCCATACGGTGTTTACAAGTCATTCCAGGGCCTGCCAGTAGTAGCAAAAGCCAGTGTCATGTGGTGTTTGATTATGGCAGCTCAAAACGTTTTCATATGTCGTCGGCTTCTGTATCACCAAGCACAGCAGACTGCAGAGCGCGTGCATTCACGACACTCCCGCATGGGAATAAACCTGTGCACTGTGTGGAAAGGGCCAACCAGCTCTGTAATGACGGCTCTCCAGAAGCCTTATCCATGATGCATGTGATGGAAACTATACGTGAAAGGAAAAAACCCCGGCCCGAGCACAAAGAAACACACCAGGAGAAAGGGACTCAACCAAAGTGTATTGGGCAGGCAAAATGAACAAGCGGGCTGCCCTCTCAGAAGTGGGAGCAGCGGCAGGGAGAGTCAGGGTGGGCCTTTTATATCATGTTAGGCTGAGCTGGACTGTTCCTTTTGGCTAAGAAGGAAGGGGAGGGAAGCGAGTTGGGTTTAAGCTGAGCTGGGATTTTTCTATAGGTGGAGAAATTGACGTGCGCGGGAAGGGGATGTGGTGGTGAAGAAGGGGATGTGGTGGTGAAGAAGGGGGAGGGGTTTTTGTGATTCTCGGAAAACGTGCTGTTCTAGGGACCTGAAACTCTCCGCAGCCATTTTGGGTATTCCTCCCATCCGCACCGCCATCTTAGACATAGGCTAAAACATAATTGCTTAACAATATGGTCATGTATTCTGCTCTTAGACATTTCAAATAAGAAATCTCTTGCACAGGGGCGGCGGGGGCCCAGGGGCATCGGCGTCCGCAGCTCGCCGGGAGCGCTGCGTGCCCTGCGCATACCTGCCAGCAGGCCGATGAGCAGCATGACCACCCAGCCCGACCAGGCATCCAGCAGGCTCTTGATGAACTCCCATATGGACTCCTTGCTTTTGCTGGTTATCTGGAAGCAGAGCAGACACAGCAGGTGATGCGCACAGTTTTCAACTCATGCTTTTCTCCTTGAAACTGTTTTCTCAGGAAACAGGGTGGTAATTAAGAGAAAATGAAGGTCATTAAGCAACCAAATTCCCAGTTACATGATTCATTCAGTCGTGTGGCACAATGACAGATGGGCTTCCTAGTTCATAGAGCTATGGAGGCACCATCATAGTCTCCAAGGAAGAAGAGTGCCAAAAACTGCACGTGATTAGAAAACCATACTGGATGTGATCTGATCTTTCATTATTTAAAAGCCATTCTGGCCGGCCCGGTGGCGCACTGGATAGTGCGCCGCTTGGGAAGCGCGGCGGCGCTCCCGCCTGAGGGTTCGGATCCCACATACAGACCGGTTCCCGCTCACTGGCTGAGCGAGGCGCGGGAGCAACACCGAGGGTTGCAATCCCGTTGCCGGTCCCCAGTCCGGTAAGGGGGCAACACTGAGGGTTGCGATCCGTTGCCAGACACGGAAAAAAGACAAAAGACAAAAAAAAAAAAAAGCCATTCTGAAGGAGGCACTGACTGGGCATCACTATTTTGAATATGAGCTACTGTTTTAACTTCCATTATCAGGTCTGTTCATTAAAACACCTCTTCAACAAAGACTGCATTTCCTACTTTTGTTTTCAAGGTTTAATTTTAAGAGGAAGAACTGTGAATTAGCAGCATGGCTCACAGTGCCCATGGCAGACGGGCACGTCTATACACACTGTAAGAACACACCTTTGCCTCCCTGTGTTAACAAAATCCTCCGAGATCACCATTCCCGTCACAACCCTTTCGAGCGGTGGTTGGCAACCATTTTCTATATAGGACTAGACAGTAAATATTTCGGGCTCTGCACGTCAAATGGTGTCTGTTGCAACTACTCAACTCTGCCACTGTGCACAAAAGGAGCCATAAAGAACATGTAAACGAATGGGCATTACGTAATAACTTCGTATAGCATACATTATACGAAGTTATACGATTTCTAAAAGAACCCCGGATAGGTATTTTTAATACTGTGTTAATTTGTCCTTCAATTGCAGTTCAATACTTACAACAGACACAAAATATTAGCATCTTAATTTTATTGGCATAACAATAATTGATGTGAAACAAACCTTTTACATATTCTGTTTTAGCAGAAAGTGAACGTTGCCAGTTTATCTATTTGCCCAACGATCTATCTTTGAATTATTATTATCATTGTTATTGTTGTTGTTGTTGTTAGCATCTCCATTCACTCCTAAGGTTGCGCTATTTGCTTTTATTATTTTTATCTTTTTGCTTTTAGTAACTGTACCCAAGCAGCTTTCCTAAGTACATATGTATTACTCCAAAAATACTCAGGTTGATCATTTAGAGCCTTGAGAGTCTGCGGAGCTCTAAGGAAGCATGCTTTGTGATCAGGTGCCTTTCATCTGTTGAGAGCTCTTAATGTTTACTGTTAGGGATATTCCAAGAGATACTGACTTGACTTTATAAAAGTCAGCAAGAGAAATACTTCCCAAGCTGTTTTTGGTCTTAGCCCCCTTCAAATATTTTGAAAGTCCTTTTGCTACTGAATTTGTGGAAACTCTTTCAGCTGTTTGCAAGCTTTACCCAAACAGTGACGGAGATTAGACAATCATACACTCCAAATACAGCATAGCTATTTCTTCCTCCTTTAAAAACCTGGATTTAAAGGGAAACAAAGATGTCTCTGGGGGAGATAATTAACAGAGCCAGGAGACCTGGGTTCTAATATCAACTTTATCTGTTATGAGTTTATGGCCTTGGATTGTTATTTAATGTCTTTGTCCTTCAGTTTCTGCATCTGGAAAAAGTCTGCCCTCTCATAAGGCTGGTGTGAGAACAAATAAGCAGCATCTGTAGAAGTATTTTGAATTTTTCAGACAGCCTCTGAAGAAACATACAGCAATATGCTTAGCTACAATAGACTAAAAGTCACCTGTATCTATTTCTCTTTGTGAGGCTAAAAGGAGAAGAATGAAAACACTTAGCTTGGTGCTTGGCACACAGAAGGTGCTCAGTAAAATTGTGATTCTTACCGCCTCCTTCCGTGTCCCTCCACATTCCCCGGCCACCCTGGCCACCTCTAAAGCTTCAGCACCCACTCTCATGCCAGGGACCCGTCACTGTGACCCTGACCTTGCCCTGGAACTGCAGAGTTCCCTCCACCTGCCAGCCACCCACCCCCAGCTGCAGGCCAGGTGGACAGCTCAAATTCAAAGCGTCTAAAGCAGAACTCACTGGCCTCCCTCTGAAATCTGCCGCCCCCATCATCAAAGGCATCACCCCCATCTGGCCACAGCCCAGTATTCCTTGACTCCCTCCCCGCCTGACCCCAGAACCTCCCCTAGTCCCGTCAATGGCTCTGAGGACCCTGCTCCCCTCTATCCACCTCTACTTCACGGCCTTTAGTCAGACCTCCCGCTTCCTCCCGAACTCACTTCCAAGCCTTCTGTTTCTCCCTTTGCGATGCATCTTTATTGTGTTCTGTCACGTGCAACACAAAATACAAACTCCTCCCCATGGCCTACTCAGTCACTCCCAATGGGCCCCATTGCTCACGTTTCTACAAATCTTTTTCTTTTTTTTTTTGCAGGTGGCNGTAAATATTTCGGGCTCTGCACGTCAAATGGTGTCTGTTGCAACTACTCAACTCTGCCACTGTGCACAAAAGGAGCCATAAAGAACATGTAAACGAATGGGCATGACTAAGTTCCAATAAAACTTTACAAAACGAGGTGCCAGCTGGCTTTGGCCCGAGGGCCATAGTTTGCTGAGCCCTGCTCTAGAGGGAAGGCTGCCCTGTCCCCATGCTCCTCCACGTTGGAGACAAGAGGCTGCGCCATCTTCTTGACTGAACCTCACTCCTGCACAGCTCTCCCTCCTTTCACTGCCAACCTTCGTGAAATGGCGTGACACAGTCGCACTCTCCACGTCCCTCCGCATCTTCCTCTGAAGCGGCTCTCCCTGAGGTCGCCGACAGCCCCCATGTTGTTGGTTCACCATTACCCCTCCATGGAGGCTGACCTTGGGAGCAGCCCCTCCTCAACACTCTCTCCTCTTCTCACTTGGGACAACTCTCGGCTGGCCGCCTCCCTCACCTCTCCCTGCTTCTCCTCAGAGTTTGTCACTGGCACCCACCTACCTCCCCCAGACCTCCTAACTCCTGGCATTGCCCAGGGTCCTGGCCGCCTCCTTCCGTGTCCCTCCACATTCCCCGGCCACC